ATCTTATCGATAAAATCTTACCAGGACAGAGAAACTTCCACATGGTATTTTCAGGGGTGCTAGTCACTCCCTGCGGGACTTTCATTAACTTCTTCACCTCGATTCCCATGTGGTAATTCCTAAGGCCCAGTTTAAAGATGGGTTGATACCCTCCAGTGGCAGAGAGGAGAATTTCTAATTGTTTCTGTTCTGCATTATGGATTAATTTCTGTACTCTCTTCCTCAATGTACAAGTAAGGTGACAGTTATATAAAATCATACACAATAAAATCAGGACTGTAATAACAAAAGGATAGAAGAATGATTTCATTATCTGGGATCCAGTAGGGGACCAACCAATAAAGCATCGTACCAATGATGGGCTAAATAATTCTGAATTTGTGAACTCACCTTAAGGAGTTCTCCTTTTAGGATATGTGTGGCTACCTGTGTGTGTTATCTTTGGGAAAAATATAGTCCCCTGTGTATGTGGGTGCCCACCAGGTTAAATTATTGGCAAAAAGATCATAAACTGGTACTGGTAATGTGTTAAATTGACAAGCTAATTTAACATCCTTTGATGATGTATGATATAATGTAAAATAGCATGAGCATGAAAAATGTCAAACATTACCAGTTAACCATCCATTGCATTTAGTGGATTGGGGTTTTAGAAGTAACCATTCATTATCTGCGAGGTTACGCATTCCTCTAATCTTCTCTAGTTTAGGAATCATTAGTGTGTTTTCTAATTCCAATCCTTGTTGTTGAATCCATAAATGCCTGATGGCACAAGTACTCCAGTTGCTTAGACCTGTAGTGAATTTCATTGCAACAGTTACATTATCTAAATAATTATACATTGATTTATCTAATATGGAAACAGAGTAAACCAGGAGCTTAAAAATGTGAGAGAAAGAATGCAGCTATAAAATATCTGACAGATATTGCAGTATATTATGCAAAGATATCAGCATAAATATAAAACGTAAAATAGATAATACAATCACCAATCTAAATTATAGATGACTCTAAAATGATTAAAATAGTTGAAATAGTTAAAAGTAGATATATATTGTCATATAGCAGCAATCAGTATAATGACTGGATGAAAAGTCCAAATAATAAATAATCAGTCCAAATGTACAAACATCCAAATATTGCACAAAGTGTAAAGGATATGTATCATAAACCACCTTTTATCTGCTAGAATAAATATAACAGAATCAGCTGAGGTGTTTTATGAATTGCTCTACTTTCAAATAAACAAAGAAAAGAAAGATAGGAGTGGACACATCGGCATACAGATACTAGGCTTGTTGGTATGGAAAACTAACAGCCTAATTGTCAGTCTTTCATCTGTAGAATCTGGGCTGACTGCCAAAAAACTGCAACTGTAGTATCAATAGTAGATGTAAATATCAAATCAAATGGATATTTCAAGATAAGTCCGTTTGAAAAAAATGACTTGTAGAAAATAATGGTTAATTAAAAAGGAGTTGTAACGGTCCGTTTCTCTCACAAGGGGATAAAATCGGTTTAGGCGATAATCCCCTTTCCCATAGACCAGCAGCTACTGCAATCACCAACCTCCTGAACTCCAAACTGCACGTATTCACCAACTCTCGAACAGCAGACACAGGAACCCTGGAAGCAGCCGAACAGGAAAAGCAATACAAACGGCTTACACTCCTGGCAGTCAGCACACAATCCAATTCCCCCAATAACGAGACGACACTTCGTTTTGAGGGTTAAGCAGAATCTGAGGTGCTGGCACACCCAGCCTGGTTTTTATTACAGTGTTTTCAAATACAGGACCGCCACAGGGAGGTATAAAACAACCAATAACATCACAGTTACATCCCACATATTCCCTCCCCTTATCCTGAGAGGAAACTCAATTATACATACAGTTAAAACATACTTTCTACCCAACTTTCATAACTCTAAAACCATACATCACATTCACATAAAATTACATATTTGGAATCAATCCATTCAGGGGAGCAACATATTAAAAAATGGCACAAATCAGACAAGGGGTTCAAAAGTTAGTAAAAAGTCCTTTGTGACTAAATGAAGCATGGCTTTCTGGCCCAAACCAGTTTCAGAGTCTTCTATCCTGGAGAGTAATTCAATTATCTCCCAGGACAGACACAAGACTCCATTAAGCACATGGTTGCAAAAAGACACAAAACACTTTAAAATACATAAAGTCACATTTATTACATAAACACAGACATGTAACATATCCCCAGATAGCTCAGGTCTGAGCGCACATTATTAAGTGAATGGCGCTCAGACCACACGAATACAGTTTAATCGCCATAGAGCCAAAGTCTTTACAGTCAGTTTCATACGAATGGGCTCCATGGGATTCCTATCTGGGGTGTAACACATTCAAACAAATCTACCGAACCCCAGGCAGAAAAGCATGAATGAAGCTTTTCTGCAGGTAAAAAAAAGATGTCTTTTAACAGGGGGCCATAGTCCAAAGGCAGCAGGCGAGCAACCAGGCTTCTCCAATGCAATGTGGCGAGATTGGTCTCGTCACAGGAGTAATACTTTATTTAAAAAAAACCATATTCATGATCAAAATATAAAAATACTGTATAAATAATGTGCTATAAACTGTTCCAAAATAGGAGAAAGTAAAAGGACTGAAAAAACCTGTTTAGTCCTTCTGGATGGCTGTGGATGATATTCTTTCCTTCCAGATCGATATTGCAGCAGCCGGTGAGGACGGCGTCCGCATTCGTTGAGAGATCACCTCCGACCTCACATCGAGGGGTGAATCTCCAAAATGACGTTAGGCAACAGTGGTAGAATGTCGAGTCCTTACTTTCTCCAACAGTTCTCTTTGCATCGGTTACAGCCTTACTCGTTTCATAGTGTACTGCCCTCTGATGAAATAGAGATGGAGATTTGGAGGTGAGGTCGGAGGTGATCTCTCAACGAATGCGGACGCCGTCCTCACCGGCTGCTGCAATATCGATCTGGAAGGAAAGAATATCATCCACAGCCATCCAGAAGGACTAAACAGGTTTTTTCAGTCCTTTTACTTTCTCCTATTTTGGAACAGTTTATAGCACATTATTTATACAGTATTTTTATATTTTGATCATGAATATGGTTTTTTAAAAATAAAGTATTACTCCTTTTTAATTAACCATTATTTTCTACAAGTCATTTTTTTCAAACGGACTTATCTTGAAGTATCCATTTGATTTGATATTTACATCTACTATTGATACTATAGTTGCAGTTTTTTGGCAGTCAGCCCAGATTCTACAGATGAAAGACTGACAATTAGGCTGTTAGTTTTCCATACCAACAAGCCTAGTATCTGTATGCCGATGTGTCCACTCCTATCTTTCTTTTCTTTGTTTATTTGAAAGTAGAGCAATTCATAAAACACCTCAGCTGATTCTGTTATATTTATTCTAGCAGATAAAAGGTGGTTTATGATACATATCCTTTACACTTTGTGCAATATTTGGATGTTTGTACATTTGGACTGATTATTTATTATTTGGACTTTTCATCCAGTCATTATACTGATTGCTGCTATATGACAATATATATCTACTTTTAACTATTTCAACTATTTTAATCATTTTAGAGTCATCTATAATTTAGATTGGTGATTGTATTATCTATTTTACGTTTTATATTTATGCTGATATCTTTGCATAATATACTGCAATATTTGTCAGATATTTTATAGCTGCATTCTTTCTCTCACATTTTTAAGCTCCTGGTTTACTCTGTTTCCATATTTGTTAATACATTTGGGATTTGGTGAAACCCCACTTTTTCCAGCTTTGAGCTTCTATTCACTTTTGTCCTATTCCCTCTTACCTAGTCTTTGATAGGCATACTGTTTTGCTATCAAGATTTACCTCTGCTATCATTGATTTATCTAAATCCAATCCTATAACCTGTGATTTAACAACAATTGGAGCCCAGTTTGCAGTAGCATGGAAACCAGTCCCTATATGCATGCTGGCCGTGTTTAACTTATTCTTGAGGGTCTCCATATCTATAACTATTTAGTATACCCATAGTGGTTCCAGCACCTCTTAACAGTGTGTCATACCATTCCCTTTTCTGCCTTTGTTTGTTGTGTTACATAATGTTACAACAGGAGTAGTGATTTTTAATGACACATGTACAGCTTGTAAGAGGGCAGTTGTATTAATACATGTGGACGGAATAGGTGTGTGTGTGTGTCGTTGTTGATTTTTGGTTCTATGGTAGAGGATAAAGGACAGTAATAAGGTGTAAAAATATAAGGTAGTGTATAGTTCTCAATTGCAGTGTCATTCATAATGACTAACATTTGTCCCCTTCTCCAATTAATGATACCAGTTATATAATCATTATTAAAAGTAATAAGGCCTGTCTGTTTACATTGATATGCAACCTTAACTGTGCACGTTTCTGCGTTATAAGATCTAACAATTTTCTGTGAACCTTCAAACAAACATAATGCATCGGTTTCATTAGCTGTGGACACATTTCATATGGGTAACTGGTAATTATAAGGGTTACTATTTGTCCAATTCATCCAAATGCGTTCAGTGAATGAATGATTGCATATTACATGCTGATAGAAAGGTGGTGGAGAAAGGTTCTTGAGGGGGCGTGTGTGACGAATTCTAGATGAGGGGCTAAGGCCTAATTGGGCTGGGGGTATTGAAGAATTGTTCATCATGTCAGAGTCTTTTTTCCAGAAACAAACAGGTTTCAAACTTGCCATTGACTTGTACTCATAATGGCATTCAAGGAACAATATCAGAGGGAGTATAACAACTCCAGAAAGCATAGCGCACAACATAATCTTGGTCTCAGGTACGTATGATCCTCTCAATGATATGGTGTAAAAGACATGATGCTTCGCTGAGGAGAAATTCTTCTGTTTCCGAGCGAGGAGTGGTGTTGTCTTCCTTGGTTCCCCTCTTTGGACACAGCTTCACTCGGGATGCGTGAATCCAGATGTCATGGGAATCTGTGAGGACAGCGGTTCTGGGTACAGCAATTACAGCAGCAGGTGGTCCAAAAGGGTATCCTCCTTTCTTGGTCCTGTTCAGCTGACGGATATACACCTTGTCACCGGGCTGGTATGGATGAGTAGGTTCCTGTGAAGGTAAGGGAAAACTGCGAAGAAACATTGTCATACATACCATTCGGTTTTATCAACAATTCCTGTACATATTGTTCTTGTATTCGCTGTAAATCCCCAGACATTATAACAAGCGGTTCCCTGGCCCAGGGTGTGTAAAAAGAGCAGCGTTCACACGATCTTACAAAAGACTGTACATGCTGCCTGAGATTCCTAATATAAAATGAATTCATGAGGAATTGAATGGTGCTTGCTATGTGCCTGACTGATGAAAATAAAGCAGCTTGCTTCAAGTATGCCTATTCTCCCCTCTTTAGAGAACAGATCATTCTGATCTTTCTCTAAACCTTGTTTAATCCAAAAGACAGATTCTGGGTATTAAAAAAAGAATCTCATAACCACTTAAGCGCTGGGCTGCCATGTGTGTAGGAATCCTCTGAATGACCTCAATACGTTTTGGACTCAATTGTCTGGTGCCTAAAGCCAGAACAAAACCTAAGTATTCAACCTTTGATTTACACAATTGCATTTTGTGTTTAACAACCTTGTGACCCACATTTGCTGACAGTATCCACAGTGCTTGCCTCATAGCTAGGGCTACATAACAACAAATCATCAACATTTTGCAAAAAGGACGGAACCATGACCGGTGGTCCATGTTTTTTAGAGTATGTTGGAGTACCAATGAATAAACAGCTGGGGAATCCACATAGCCTTGTTATCAGCTGAGTGACCTGGTGACTGGCATGAAGTATTGTAGGATGCCCTAGTGTGATAGTAGTAGCAGTTTCAACAGCCATTGCACATGCTATCAATGCTCTGAGACACGCCGGCATACCATGTACCGGAGCTCGAACTACTTTGGAAAAGAATGCTATGGGACGCATGCCGCCTCCTTGCTCTTGTGCACAGACCGCGGCCATGGTTTTACAATTGTCCCAAGCATACAAATGAAATGGTTTACAATACACAGGTAGTCCTAAAGCCTGGGCTTGCGCAATAACAACTTTAAGGGAAATATATGCAGCTAGCATGTCTGGTGACCAGCAGACATTTTCAGGGCTGTCAGAACGTACAGCCTCCCTTAGGATTGAGTCATAATGGGAGCATTCAGGGATCCATTGGTGGCAGTAATTAATCATGCCGAGGAAGGTGAGCAACTCCTTCCGAGTAGTGGGTGTAGGAATCCTCTGAATGACTTCAATACGTTTTGGACTCAATTGTCTGGTGCCTAAAGCCAGAACAAAACCTAAGTATTCAACCTTTGATTTACACAATTGCATTTTGTGTTTAACAACCTTGTGACCCACATTTGCTGACAGTATCCACAGTGCTTGCCTCATAGCTAGGGCTACATAACAACAAATCATCAACATTTTGCAAAAAGGACGGAACCATGACCGGTGGTCCATGTTTTTTAGAGTATGTTGGAGTACCAACGAATAAACAGCTGGGGAATCCACATAGCCTTGGGTAAGGGTGTCCAGGTAAACTGACAGCCTTCAAAAAGTAAAAACCATAAGTAGCTGTGTCTCTTGATCAATAGGTATAGACAAAAAAAAAATGCATTACTTAAATCAATGACAGTGAAGCAAGTGGCATCATGTGGAATGGCTGTAATGAGGGATGTCACATCAGGGACAATGGGTGAAATGGGCACAATTAAACTATTCAGGGCTCTAAAGTCCTGAACTAAGCGATATGCTGGCCAGTGGTGTTGGGAGTGGGTCTGGTGTTGTTCTTGCCTACCGGGCATATTTTGAGAATATTGGGGTGTGTGGGGTTTCCTGGGGTGTAGACACTCATTCCTCCAGTGGCCATATTGGCCCCAGTTGAAACAAGTGTTCCTGTCTATGACCCTGATTTCCCTGTCTCCATCCCCTTGCCCCTCTTTGACCACCCCTTCCACAGGCTTTATGTGCTCCATCCCATCCTCGCTCTCAGCCTGTGTAGGTGGACAGTGTTGCAATCCCTGAGCATAATAAGCAACCTTACTTTCCTAAATCTTTTCTTAAGTCAAAACAACCTGCATTTTCCTTTTCTATAACCTTGGTAAGAAAATCTGAGCTATCCAAATTGGCCCAGTCTGAAATCAATTGTTTCACAAGCAAAGAATACTGTGGCAACATATTACCAAGGCATGACTGTATTTTAGAGAGATCCATATCATCTCCAGACATCAAACCTGCCTCATCCTTCCAACACTTGTAAAATTTCTTTACAAAAATCATATTACCAATCTCTTCCTTTGCATCTTGCTTATATGCCAAAGCAGTGAATATAGACTGCTTATTCTTCCATTATTCTTCCATAATCCCAACATTTCAGCTTCCACCTTGTTCCAAATATTAGCACATCTTACTGAAGTACTAAGCTCATAATCACCAATTCATTTCAAACCATATAACTCATACTCAGCATCCAATGTAATATTACACGTCATCTCACAAAACAATATCTTTGTAGAAACACATAATGGGTACCCAGCAGATATGCCAATACAGAAATCACATTTATGGGCACACAACTACACACTCTGTCTCCCTCCTAGGAAACACGGATAGACACAATATAAAAGCAATCTTAAACTAACACCTCCAAATCTATCCAACTATTCTTGGCCAAAACGCTAGTATTCAACAACTAATAAAACAGTTATTTGCTAGGTTATTTGGCTGTCATTCTTATCAGTATCACTAGACTGTGACAAACTGATTCACATATAATTTAAAACAATACAGCAACATATAAATTAAACCACTTTCAAGTTAAACTGCACACTTATCACACATTATCACAATCACCATTTACACAGAATAAACAGTTAACAGCTGTATTCAGAACATATTATTGGAAGGTATACCAATTTTACTTTAGATTTATTTTAGGGATTTCTTATGTATACATTTTCTTAATTAACTTCATTACTTTAATCTACTATAGTATTGTATATAAAGAAAGGATCCATTTATATAGCGCGCTCATAACTCAACTATTTGTATAAAACTTCCATTAACTAATCTGAGATGATGCTGCATCAACTTAAATCTTATAGAAATTGAACAAACATCTGGACCAGATTAAACAGACATGGTTTCACCAGAATCTTTCAGAACTCTCAGAGACTTAAAAAAAAAAAAAAAATTATTCTATACCATGTTTTAAAGGCATGGCAAACCTTAGACCGGTCAGTCTCCAAGAGCCTTAGTACAACAGGTAGAAAACTTTGTCCATGATTTCTGATCCAGGCTATATACCACAATTTAAAATAACACATAATGTGAGACATAGAAGACACAAGAAGTAGTTATTACACTGGATCATTTAAAAGGAATCTGTCGCAATAAAAAGGTTAGTTTACAGCACAAAATAAAGCATGTGTTGGACCGCTGAAAATGTAAATGTTGCTCTGTTATTTTCAAACATAAATCATATTTAGTATGGATCCTTTACAACAAGCACACAGGGAAGGGAAGATGTGCTGATTGGTGTTTCTATACAATTAATCCCATATGGGGAATTAACTTTCAAATACTAATGAAGTGCTTCCTTTTTGTCTCAGTATAAAATATACTGAGCTCATCATTTCAAAAAATTTTTAACTCATTTACACTTATCCCACTCTCATAAAAAGTGTAGTGGGCTTATGGTATTTTTAAAGCAACAATCATACCAGGCACACAGATCCCATGTGAAATAACTTACAATAAAACAGAGTAATAAACTTATACTTCTATGCAACAGAAAGAATAAAGTAAAAAGATTTAAGTAGGTCTATCAGGTACAACCTGTAAGTCATTTCTTTTCTAATATACAGTACTGCTATCTTGCAGAAAGATAAGTCCTGCGTTCACTCCCATCACTACTGGGCAGCAGCAAGGACTACAGTACACATCAGCCCCAATATATGGTAAAAACTAAAGAAAAACAAGGTACCTGCATTCTCTCATTAATCCCTATGTATTTTTAAAACCTCCATTTGTTTAAAAGTACTGCTATCTTATATATACACATATACATATACATACACATATATACATACATATATTGGTCACTCAGGACCTGAACTTACATTTCCCATACTGCTGACTCAGGGCAGACACACTACTAACTTACCAAAGTGTGTCCCCAATATAGACAAACAATCACCCACAAAGAACACTTAAGACAAACAAAGGTGACCAGGAGAAAGAGAAGTTTGGGTTATACTTATAGATCTATAAACCGTGCTCCTCAGAAACACCTATAGTCTTAATAAACCGGAGACCTCTTGTGGTCTCAAAAACCTGTATCTACCTGAGATACCCTGTATCTATCTTAGATACTAACCTGGGTTACCAAAACCCTATATATTTAGACCAAATGTCTAATAAACCGGAGAATGTCTAATAAACCGGAGACCTCTCATGGTCTCAATATAACTAGAGTCCTTACACCTTTCCTATCTACTGGATACAGACTTACTGAACCAAAGGGGGGTCATAGACAATCAGCGTCAAATAAGACACAAAAAGGCTACTCACCGCAATGGTTTTGCTGATCCATCCATCCATCCCACTTCTGACACCAAGCTGAAAGGTTTAATGCTGTAATGGACTCAAATCCCCTCGGTTCTCGATCTCTCGGTCACCATAATCAAGTTGATGGAGAATCATTGTCAGCAATAAGACACGGACAACAGGATGCTTGACAAGACTCTCAAATGAGTGTATTCCAGAGCTAGCTTTTATACATAGTTTGCTTACATTAGCCATGAGATATGCCATACAGTACAGACTACAGGGAGTGCAGAATTATTAGGCAAGTTGTATTTTTGAGGATTAATTTTATTATTGAACAACAACCATGTTCTCAATGAACCCAAAAAACTCATTAATATCAAAGCTGAATATTTTTGGAAGTAGTTTTTAGTTTGTTTTTAGTTATAGCTATGTTAGGGGGATATCTGTGTGTGCAGGTGACTATTACTGTGCATAATTATTAGGCAACTTAACAAAAAACAAATATATACCCATTTCAATTATTTATTATTACCAGTGAAACCAATATAACATCTCAACATTCACAAATATACATTTCTGACATTCAAAAACAAAACAAA